ATTCAATCAGCTACACCCTCTAGACCATATACTCTTAGAGGCCCCTCCACGTCAAGAAAGGTAGTATGGATCCAGATATTAAAAGGAGAAATATAAATCGTCTAAAAGATATCACGGAAGAGAACAGCGGGAGAAGATATACGGATGGCAGATAGGAGGGCAAAGGCAATTATATCCTTATCGCAGAAGGCAAGCAAGCAACGATGATAAAGTGCACGCCACGAAGAGGCATTCCAACTACAAAAATCATCGTCACGCTCTAGTACACGAATGTATATGGCTACGACTGGAAGGACATAGGCAACAGGCAGCTATGAAGGTGATACATCCCCGACTTCTTGATGAGAAAATGTGTCTGTTTATTGATGAATAACTAAATGTCTACCTAAGATTCACAGAAAGTCTTATGTTGAAGAAGACTGCAATAGTATAAAGTCAGCTGTAGAAACAGTGGGAAAGGCTGTGATAACTTAAAACCAAAGATTTGTAAATGACAATGGATTTCCCTTGCTTCATCTGAATTGATAGACCTCAGAACACTGATTCTAGCGCGATCTGAAGATGATGAGCAGCAAAAGCTGTTCAAATAGAAACCGACCAAAAGTCTCCATTGTGAACAAAGGTGGGTGACAAAAGCTAAAGAGATAGAAAAAGTACTGGTGATAGGTAACACCACATAACTATAAAACTTGATTAGGGGAATGGATTGTAAATGATCAATGACAGGTGAAACAATCTCGAGAAGAACGGAACTTTAACTACCTCTCAAGATAGAGGACTAGGACGTTGGAGGGGACACTTTGAGGAACGATTCAGCTGACCTACAGCCACACTAAATTTACCCAGCATCCAACACCTGCATGAATGGAATGTAGATACCAGTCCTCCAACAGTATCTGACGTTGTAACAGCTGTCCATAATCTGCAACGAGGTAAAGTATGACTTCATAGGTGTTTACAGATGGCACGATAATGAATTATGAAATGGAGCAACTAAGATATTAGGTAATGTGTGGGAACCAGAGATAATTCAGTTAGGCTGGTGTGAATCATTGATTATCCTAGTTTGCAGGAAGGAGGACAGACAAGTCTTCCTGTGGTAATCACAGGGAGATTAGTTTTACTTCCATAGCATCTAAATCTCCAGTTTCAATAATGAACCATACGTAAGACTAAAAGGTGCTAGGGATGAACGAGTCCGTAAAACCCGGGCAGCCTTCAGGCCCGAAAGAGAGTGCATTCAACAGATAAATATTCGACCACTGGCAGATTATATAACATTGAGTTACTTACGGGCTTCCAACATTCACTATATTTCTTGGCCTGAAGGAGATATTTCACTCCGTCGACCGGGTTTTGTGGTAATGTTTGGTTGAGAAGGCAAGTTACGCAAATCAAGACACTCTACTCGAACTCGCGTGTTCGTGTAAGGATTTATGGGAAGTTGAAATCTGAAGTAATAACTACTAGTGGTATCTGATAGTCATATCTACTGCCCCAATTTTTGATTAAATTCATTATGGATGTGTTCCATAATCGACGTTAGTGACTTAGGTACTGGTTTGTTACCACGGGACAGATGAAGACACTGGAAAAATACAAAGTCTTCCGGACTTCACGAACAGAAACCTTTGTGTCTGGCATATGATTTGCACCTTCCAAATGAAAGGTGATACTGAAGAACCATTTGCATCAACCCTAGAGTTAAGTCGGAGTGAAGTCACTGAGTGTGTTGACCACTTCACTTATCTGGGAAGCTGTATTAGACCTAATGGCCACTTTATGTTACCTTAGGCGTGGATGTGATATCCCGATTTCAATCACGTAGTCCGCTTTATCCTTCTCAAGGGCTGCGAAATATGGCCATTCAAACTAAAAGATATGAAAGGACTGGCTAACTGCCTTTGACCACAGTAGTTTGCGTTCTATTTCTCGTGTTAAGTGGTACAATATTGCTGGATAGTATTGAGGTCTGGATAAGGATCGCAAGTTGGCCTATATCACCATGAAGCTACATCGATTCAGATGGGTGGACAAATGACTAGCCACCGTCGCTTTTTCTCTGAGCGAAGTTAACTAACATCAAATTAGATTAAGTTGGTAAAGGACGACGGCTGATGCAGCTGAGAAGTGACATCATAACAAGAATTGTTTGACTGTTGGTTTGCTTAATGCTAGGGTAGGAAAATTCATAATTGCCTGAATCACAGTGGAACTCAGAGTTCTATATCGAAGAACTGATAACGACAATCGTATCCAACAGTTCTGTTCATATAATCATACATTCCTCATCAGTGTTAACTTCAAATATTAGGATATACTGCCTAATCTGGCGAAATACAACTTCAAATCAATAATGGACTAGAATAAATTACTTAACCATAAGCTTTAAACGCAGAGGGTAGGTAGGACATTGCCACTCCTTCTGAAACGCCTGCTTCAATTCTGGTCACGCTCTAGTCCAGGAATGTATATGACTGTTCGTTTGAGCTACGTCAGCAGATGTAGACTGCGTGGGGAGAGCTAACGAGATTCCAGGAATAAACACTTTTGAACTGCTGGTTTTATCGTTGAAAATTGCTCGAAATAGGAAACACTGACTTACTATTTATGAATTCCTAGATCCATCAACTACGAATAGTTACCAATATAAGTATAAATTCAGATACAAATTTCCACTTAAAACGGATATTTCAATTATTTTCTTCACCACAGTAAAGTACATTATGCAAACTTGAACAATTGCGTAATTGTACGAATTTCATTAATGAATACAAGGGCCGTTCGTAACATATAAAAATGCAACCAACGTCCAAGCTGAATAATAGTTTTAAAAGATAACACATGTATGTAGGCGAAATCTATGTAGAGTCAAAACAAGATGAAACGAAAAGGGCGTTTAGGCTTTCAGAAGCCATCAATCATGAGTTGTGCAACAGTTGTTCATTTCCTGGAATCACCAAACCTAAAACACAAGTGCAAGCAGTGATTTCATTGGATAAGTTTATTCATGACAAATTTACGCTGAGAATGTCGGTAGTGAATACAAAGCACAGTCAACAAATACAATGACTATTTCATATCACAAGATAAATAAAATCCGGTGATACTATAGTGTGCATAGGAATAATTAAGACAATTTGGATACTGTGCACACTGAGACCTGTTTTATCGGACCATCTTATAATAAGACAGAAACAGAGAGAAGGAATGGTTAGCGCTCAAAAGGTGTTCAATGATCACACTCCTTATGCAGCCACTAGTACCCTTTCGTAGCCATGCGGGATAGCGTTCTCGAATCTTTTTGGATAGGATACGCGTCGAAAGACCAATGTACCTGACTCTACGGCAACAGGTCGACTATTATATCCTTACCCTTAAGGCTTCCGCATACTGATGGACGACTGGAAAACACAACTCTTAGTGTTGCTGCGAAGAATGTTCTTCTCAAATATGCTGAAATTCTCCTCCTAAGGATATCGCAGGCTGTCTCCCGTGACGACAGAGAGAGAGAGAGCTAGTTAGATAGATGGAAGCAATCTACTGAAGATGTAAAATTTTTTGACTGCGAAGATGGCTGGCGTGAAAGATTGATTAGCATTGATGATTGGCTGATCATCAACCATACGATAACCCTCTACACTGATATTTAGACTGCATTACAAAACCACTGACACATGATAGTTTATAAAAGTTCGTTTACACTACATCACACCACTGACATCGAGGACTGCTTGTAGATGTGAAGTTTACGATTATATTCAATCCTAATAGCTCACTTCTGACAGTTCAATACACGCGTTAGCGGAAACATCCCATACAACCAATAACCTCCACAGTTAGCTAGCCCTGAAACTGGGTAGAGATAGCGCTGGCGTCATCAGACCATGGTGTCACGTCATACAATGAAGGCTAGTTGTCTTCGGTTACCATCTGTCCGTGCACCACGAATCCCTCAGTGGGGTCCGACAGATAATGCGAATCACTCACTCAACACATGGTTGGTTGGCAATCGTAGTGAACTAACGAAGAGGATGAAGTAGCACCAACGAAATACCTATACACATTTAATACTAATAACAATCCCTCTCTCCCGACTCACTCCCAACCAATTCCTCCATACATCTCATCCGCCGTCTTCGTTACTAATTACTCACTTCCATTACACTTCCCTCTCATTCTTCTCTCCTTACTTCCCAATTATTATTCTTCTTCCTCTAACACTAAAGGATGTAATACCGCCTCCTGATATCTTGAAACCATGTCACTTACTGACTCCTCCCTCTAGCTAGACATTCACACACTCAGTACACCGCACCCATCAATAACTTCACTACTCCAGTACACCCACACAAACACGTACATTGTGATTTTCAATCTCATACAATAGCTACACTCACCCACTCACCCTTTCTCATTACAGTCACTCAGACAATTCGTCAGCCAGGAACTAGTATCCTTTACCACTGACGATTCCTGAAGGCCTACAGATGTCAGCAGAGAGTCACCTCCTCCTCTTCCTTCACATCATCATGGATAATTATGTCTCTCGCTTCCTTACGAGAATTTGAATAGCCGGTGCAGAATTATTAGTAGATGGATTGATTCACCCTTTGGTAATGTATCGATAAAGTTAGGTTGGTTTATCCAGTAGGTGTTGGTTGAGCAGATGGTTATGTTTATTTGGATGGGATGCATATTGTGAAGTGATGTATATGAATGTGAACTGATTTTGTTTGACTCTGGGTCAAGCTTCTGGATCGATGATGGACTATAAGATTCATGTAGAAGCCGGGAGATGAAAATGACTTAATAATTTGTTAGTTGGTCGCGGTTTTCAGCTGATGTTAATTGACAATTGCCGAATTCATTGGAGTATGTGTGTAATGATAAATTGGCAACATTTTACAAGGAAACAATGAACGCCACTTTTCAAGTTCCCCAAAAGCTCAAGCAGTCGACTTCAAAGGAATTGAAAACATTTCGGTGGAAACTATTTCCGGAAAATCATTTTACACTTGACCGGTACAAAACTCGGAGCAATACAAAACAGAAAACGTTCTCCCTCTCTCTGTTTCTCTCACTTTCATGTAATATGTTCAAGTCATCCTGCAGCTTATAAGTAGAGAAGAACATTACAGCAGTATACGTTGAGCTTAGTATTTTTATACCTCAAAGTAGCTGAAAAGAATCTATAAGCAGTAACAGTTAATCTGTTCAGCCTCATACAAATAGCCTTTTAAATTTAATCCGTGCTATTGAATAGAACTTACATTAGCACTATGCGAAACTGTTATACAGAAAAGTAAGAGAACTCCAATTAAAAGTTAAAAACCGATTATCAAGAATAGGCGTTTACTAGACGATTGTACACATATCTAGGAAATTTAATAGAATGGAAATATTGAAGGATTTATATGAGAAAAAAAAATCTCCACTGTTGATGATATGAAAGTACATGTGAGCATACAGGCTCGTTCAGTTACTGATGGGAAAAACATCCCATATATAAATATGTCGAATCAGTTTTTTCTGAAAAATAGACCACGAAGTAAACTGTCCCTACGAGAAGCTGGTAGGGAAGTTTGAGGATTAAGCTCACTATCAACTGTATCATTATTATTCACTTTTCTTGATTCTTTTGTTTTGGCAATAATCGAAGATCGTTGAAACATTTGACTTACGGCGCGAAGTTTTGGCTTTTTCTGCTTTTTGCCATGCTTTTTAGAACATGCTTCATCTAAGCCACCAAGAAATGATCCAGATGGTGATCTGAAAGAGCGATGAACATCATCCGAAGTACTGAATCCTAGATGACTAACTGATTCCCATACGGCACTTCCAGCTCGACATCTGAGATTCGGTGCGTTGCGATTAGGGATTACATCAACACGATGAAGAGGATTATCCAGTGTTGATAGACTATCTAAGCTTGTTAAACTAAGCAGAGAACTTCCAAGTTCAGAAAATCCTATTTCGTCGTCATCATCATCCAATTCAAGACCATCAAATGATTCTTGTCTAGAAGAGCGTGGTAGAAGACGTCTAAGTGCTTTAGATGTCATAGCCAGATGACTAGGTGGCAGCATCGTACGATTTCGATGATTATTATTATTATTGCTATTATTATTATTTCTCAATGCTGTGTTAAGAAAATTGCTCAAAGATGTGCATGAGGTCTGAAATATAAAACAAAAACAGATCTTAGTACATAATAGCAGGATTGTATCAAAGAATAATTATCACTATTTCATAACACAAAGATCATACATAAGTTACTTGGTAAAACCAACATTTGTATGATAATGACCTCGCAAGAGATACTTTGGCAGCAACGTCTGTTACTTGACGCTAACGAAACTGGGAACAGACAACACAGTAACAGAACTCATCATGTGCAAGAGGCATTTAGTAAAATGAATGAGAACGGAGGACTTTAGGCACATTTCTGCGCCTTTAATGATTTGTCGCAATGTGAACAAGATGAAGAACACGCACCAGGCGACGTGGATTTCACCACGGGGACTTCAACTAAATTTCAAGACAATGAAGACGCAGTCTACTGGACACCAAGCCAAGATAAAGAACAATTGTAGGCTCAATTCACCACTTAGTACAAGTAATTTTCAAGATCGATAGGTCACCTTGCATCACTTCAGCCTAGTCTTATTGATGAGGTAAGTGGTTGGTTGTACTACGAAAATACAACCAGTCACAGAAGTTGCGACAATAAAAACTATAAAACAAGTCACATTCACCACACATCATCGATTTAAAAATCAATAGTTTCTCCCAGCATACTTCCGACATTTTCTTCTCCTTTATGCTGAAATGAGTGGGGATACTGATGCGTTAAGGTTTGAAGAAAAAGAAATGTTAAGCTGCCTAAAAATCCCTTTTGACCGCAAAGCAAATGTTTAATACTCTGGTTAGTGATATATTTTCTCACAAAATACTTTTCATATTACGCCACCTGTATGCTAGACGTCCCAATTTACGAATTCCACCAGGAATAAAAAGCATACAGCGTTTTCAAGACCCGTATGCTTTTTCCATTCAGACAAGGAAAAAACCAATGAAAAGAGGTGAAAATGAAACCTGAAGCAAGAAATACTTCTAAATTGCAACACAAGTGATAATAATCCATTAATTTTTAGCTCAATGTCTGTTGTGTGAAAACTGAGGTGATGAGTTAAATCTTCTTTGGGATTGCACTAACCCATACAATCCGGTGGTAAACCGTTATACCTGTGTAGAGTAATAAAGTGATTGAACTTACCCCCAAAAACGATCCAAGCATTGAACGTCTTGGACTTGGCATAAGGTGTGTGTCGTTGGGTTGATTTTCATCTACCTCACTAGAAGGTGGTAGTCTGTGAGATGATGTAGGTTGTTGAGCTTGTGTACCAAAGTGACGTTTAGTAGAAACAGCCAGGCGACGTGGTGTTTTTATAGATATGTTGCGAGTTAACTGACGAGTTATTCTGAAAAGGTGAAAAAATTAGTAGATGTACAAACTGTCACAAAAGGATATATATAGATATATATTATTGCAGCCAGCACAACACTATTGAAATTTTTCTTCTGATTTAATAGAACTGAACTAATAAACATCAGTCAATACCAACTTCTTAATTAGTATGCTAGTGACAGCTCAGTGATATCAGGGAGCAGGCCAATGGGAAGCAATATCGAGGTATATGTAGTAAGCCTCAGTAAGAAAACAGTAAACACAGCTGAGAATCTAGAGAAGTAAACCTATCAAATTGGAATGTTCTACATTTTACCACTTAGCAAGGAACTAGACAGCAGCAATCTATTTGATTTTAAAACAAAGATCTTTTTCATTATGACTGAAATTCACCTGGGAGTAGAATCTTGGCACTGCATAACACTATGCCTTGTGAATTTTATCGGGTATGTAATGGAAGTATTATTATTAACTACATGACATGACGTTTTCATTGCATCACATCTCATTTTCTCTCTTACACCTACTCAAAGACAATTGACTAATTTTCAAGTGTTGATTTGCCTACGAAAATAATATTATGCTATGAAAAGAAAGATAACACAATGAAATCATTGAGTAAAGGTCAGTTGTTTGATACAAATTTTCTATCTAAGGAGTGTAAATCGATATCACTGTTGCCACTTTACGCACGAGAGCGTTGGTAAGTCCAATTTAACATAGTATTACGCTCTCCATAATAGGCTACCGCTTGTGACGATCTCAGTAGAACGAAAATGCATCCTAATGCAACATACGTAATCTTCCACGTAGCATGGCATAGTTATAACTATATAAGACTTTAAGTGTTCTATCAACCAAACCCAACTATTACTCGAATGTAGTACCTAGTAATTAATATTGTCATAAGGTATGCTAACATTTACAATGACGCAGATGCAATCATTACATGTTTGTCCTCAATCTCTAAATTTTTTTCTCTTTTACACAGAAACACTGATTTCTGACGATGAAGTCGTTTCTATTAACTGTTATACGAAGCGAGATAGTAATCAATACGTGTGAACACCTGTAAACCAGTTCTTGATCTTCATCACCTTAGTGTGAAAGTTGTAAGAGTTAAAAAAACCTGTTAATCCAGTAAAAAGTTATATGAGGAAGATACATTCAAGGTTAGTAGTGTTTACCTGTACAACCTATTGGAAATAAGAGCCGTGAAGTCAAGCGAAACACAATATGTTTAATAAACAAGGTGATGTTGCGATTCTAAAATACAAAGCTAAATATTTGACGAAATGATATCAAATATCATGAATAATGATAACAATTGTATGTATTTTTCTGAAAATATTTCGGATTTATTATTAAACTTGTTCATATGACTACTAGGAACCCATGTTTTCATAAATTAATTTACAATTTCAATGTTTTGGACAGCTGAATTCAATCAGATATGATTAAACAAGTCACACGAAGAAAACACCCTACAACACCCAAAGAAACTCCAGTCGCCCACCAGCTTGCATCTTGTAGTATATGGGTGAACAATCTTTGAATAATTATAGTATATGATACCAAGTGCAAGACTCACCTTTTAGACGACAAAGCCACAGCAGTTGCATTGAACAGTTGTTCTAAGTCGAAACCAAGTAACTCAACTGGTTCCACATCTACTAGTATTTCTTCCGGATTCTTTGCTATGCATGAGACTTGGCAAATATGATGACACAATCGGTGAAGAAAAACTCGTTTGGCTTCACCAACACAAGCTTGTAGCATTGCTACATGTGAATTATTCGTACTGGAGATGGATAAATTCAGTGATGAAGTATCTATATTAACTTGGTTGGAAATTTGCCCTGATGCTGTAGCAGCTACAACTGCCGATTCAACAGGCTCTGGACATTTTCCATTAACAACAGCAGCTGAAGCTGCAAAACTAGCAGCTAGACAATAAGCATGAACACGATCATCAACCTCTGAACTGGAACGTACAACCAAACCAAACGCAGCTCGATCCGGAGAGGCAGTATCAAAATTTACCACCTATTAACAAGGATGAAAATATTGATATTAAGTCACTGAAAAGACTCTATCAAAAACGTTAGTCGGATTTAAATATACGATTTCTAAGGTGAAATAGACCAACACCCTTGGTTAATGAAAAAATTGTTTATTAACAGTAATTTTGATCCAATACTTATTTAATCTCAACAGTTATTGAAAAGTCGACATTGAGTAAATTAATTGCAACCAAATGACCTCAAAATAGTTAGTTATCACTGTTCAGGTACATTAAAGAAAAATGGCCGACTTAAAATTTAGCACTCCTGATTTATATGATAACATCCAGGAAACAACTATCGATGGTACTCAATAGAAAATGGTTACCATTGTTAGATTACATACTAGCACTTCGAATTAGAATATCATTTTTATATTAAAATAAAGGAATGTAGGAGAGACAAATATACAGTGTAGAAATTGAGCAGAGCAAACAAAAGATTTGCACGCGACTTGAAAACCTAAAGAACTTACCTGTTTTATTTCTTGTAACTTCAATAAATGCAAATGTTTATAACAGCATCTTTGTTTACCTTCCATAAGGCCAAGATTGATCACACTCGTTCCGGAGGCTCCCGAACCATTTCGAGTGACGGACCCTCCACGTGGAGCGCCGTTTGATGAAGAATCTCCACCATTTAGTGAAATCAGGTCATGATTACCCTCGAAGTTATGTTCTATCCCCTCACCTATAAAATGGAGATATGAATTATTCACTAACCAATTTGGTTCAGTTTATATTTCATAATCCAGACGGTTGAGGTCATCGAGGCACCAAAAACCATGGGTTGGAGGCCATTGGAGACACTGCTCAAAATCCTGCTCAATGTATCAGATGCATTTAACTCTTTGTGACCTCACAAATCAGTTAAATTCTTATTATTTTCCAAGTAATTACGCTACGGTATTGGTTTATATCAACTCTTAGTTTAAGGATAGTGTGTGAAATGATCAAGTGTCTTGAACACTCCGTATCTGCGAAATTGCATTGGTTATAATAGACTAACCGCTAATAATATATCAGCATTGATGCAAAGGGCTTGCATGATATTTGACTACTGGCAGCATTTTTGATGTCAATCGATGGAGTTTTGAAGCTGCACCGATTCAGATGACTATGACAATTACCATTCATGACAATCCATCGCCTTTCTCAGAGAGCAATGTTAGCTGACACATGATTACATTAGTCTAGAAAAGGGTTAGGGGTGGTCAAATCAAAAACTGGCATTTAATTAGGTCTTCGACTGTTGATCTGAGCCGCGCAGGAAACTGTAGACTCTCTGACTGTGGTCCTCAAGATACTAAAAACTAAAAGCCTCACGCTTTCGATAGTATGACTCAAAACCGTTCTCAATGACATAGATGCATAAACTTCAAATCATATCCATGTAATTATACTTTCTGTTGTATATTCCCGTTCACCATAGTGTTTTTAAGTTTTGTTCTACACTTATTTGTACTTTATGAAGTACTTTATGAACTGCAACATATTCATGAAAAGTCTTACGTTGAAAATTCCATTTTAGATTAAACATTATTTCATCAAAGTGTAATATATCAAGGGGAAATATTGGAAAAATACTTTGAGTACTGTGACAGACAGAACTTACCTTGTACTGCAGCCAATGCAGCTCGAATTGCGTGTGCAAGAGGTTCACCAGTGAATCGTTTTCGAGGTCGGGCTACTTCTAGACTATCAGACAATAGGAAAAGTGTGACAGGTTCACAGGTCGTATTGCCAGAGGCGCTTACACCTAACTCGAACACATTAAGTTTTGCCACCAAACTTCGTGAAGATGATAACATTTCAGGCTGAAACCAGGAAAAGTTTGGTAGATAATGAAACATTCAGTTGATTAAAGCATGCTTGGAAATAATTCCACAAAGAATACTTCTCAGGGGAACCTACCGGGGCACCACTAATCTCGTGATATAAAGATAACAGGGAAAGGCGCTCTTCGTTTTTCCTCAATCGGTCATTGATTTTAGCCAAAAGTTCGTTAATGCCTTTTGAAAACTGTTTAACTGCATTAAAATCTGGATGTGACTTCGGCGTAAACTTCGCTATACCTGTAGAAAAAAAATAATGAGCGAATAAATGAGGGAATGCAAATATAAGTTTGGTTGGAGTAAAGAACAGATGGTCAGTACAAATTAAAGTACTATTGGTTTAGTCTAGTGTCCAGGTGACTCTCATGGCATACAATTCAGACACGCAAATGAATATTTTTGAACATGAGGTTATTAGATGACAGTAATAATTTATCCCGTATATGGTATGATTTTAACCTGTAACTTGAAGTGGATCGTGTTTATTCTGTTCACATAAAGCACATGTAGTATGTAGGAAGGCTTATACGGGGTGTTACTGAGTGTAAATACATCACAGCAATCAGACAAAGACCCATAGAAAGTACTTTACTATACTTAAAGGCGAAATAATAGCAAATGAATGGCGTCGATGTACGTTTGTCTCACAGAAAACCTATTGCTTAATAGTTAACTACTCGAAATCATCACAATGGTTAATTTGGTCATTACCTTACTACTCGCTGATGTAAATTCAGTGCAATATTTGACTCCACTGGATTACTTTACTTCTTAAAATGATTACTTCACTTCTGAATGCTGTTGACTACTACTAAACAGGCAAATAGATTTGTTGATTTTTGTCTCCCACTTCCTAACCTCCATCATGGTTGCCTTGAATAGAAAACAGATTGACATACTCTCTCAGATGACAATAACAACAACAATCACTTCAGATCAAAATTTTAAAAGGATTAAATGCCGAAAGCTTTTGATAAAGTTCATGAAGACAAAGTACGATTGAAACCTGTAAACTATTAGTTGAAATCAAGATTCCTGACCGATTAGATCACAGTTTCAATGAGATGAATTACAAACTGACAGGTATTGGCAATACAGGAATTCACGCGGTGATGTATCGAAACACAAAAGAGTAGTCAAAATAGGAGATATATCAAAAACAAAAGCAGATATAGAAACCTCAAGTAACACTCAACTAATTGACGTTTAAATATTTGTACTAAGCGACAAAGGATGTCTTTGGTATGAATATTGACGAGGTTATGTGGTACAGAAAAGTTGGGGCGTAAATTCATGATTCGACTGAGGGTGAGTTATTGGGTAAAAGTTAGTGAGTCAAATGAAAAAAAATAAATTGAACAAAGAATAAAACAACAATACATGAATTACTTTTTTATTCCTTTACGCCCCCGGTGGACAATAGGGCTTCAAGTTAGAGGCTTGAAGTTTCGGTGACAGTGGTGTTTATTTTTACGGAATTGGGTTACTAGCCTCATGCCCAAACTTGCCTCTTAACCAGTCTTATTGCTGGCTCAGCAAGGTAAAGGAGTGCGCTCGTGCAGGATCGAACCCTGAACCACCTGCGTGGTAGGGGAGCATTATACCACTGTGCCACCAACGCACATAGTGAACGAATTTGAAACATTCATCATTTGCAATGGAGGTAATCGTGATTCTTTTCCAAGTTCAGCTGGAATATCTTTTTACTGAAAAATTAACCGAATGAAGTATTTCCTTAATCACCTTCACAAGAGCGAGGAGAACAAGATTTTTAGACAATATTGCAAAATATATTTCACCAAAATATACGCCAGCATACAGTGAAATATGCTGAACAATCTATGGTTTTACATTTTATTTTTAAAAAATATTTTTCTTAATAGAATAAGCCTATGAAATAAAACTATTACAAATATTTCCATCCAAATTTTCAGCATAGGTATTAAAAATAAACATTTAAATGACATTGTACAATGGCTTTATGTATTATGAGGCTGTTAGTTGCGATAGTGTGTAACGTTTTGAAGAAGACTACTAATCGTTATCGGCATTAGACGAAATCAGTGGAAATATTTACAGGTTTCAATCGCATACGAAGAAAGCAGTTGTTCACAAAATTGAGTGACAGACGCAAACATATGACCAACTCTACGCAGACACCAGAGACCGATACACCAAAATCGGTTTTGAAATAAATCGAATAAACTCAATCACACTGTCTAAATAAACAACTACAAGCAGGATATCTAACCCAAGGAGGAAAAGAAATACATATTTCAAATATCGGATGTCAAATCATTGAATAGTACCAAAAACAATCCTAACTATGACCTGATCAAGTGTAAATGCTGAAAATTTAAAAGTAAAAAGATTGATGTGAATTCAGCTTATGACAGTTTTGAAGATTACGAAAGTTTTGTCATTTACGCTCTTAGTAAGAATCGATACGAACACTAAAATACTTTTCATAGCTTTTTAAACAAAAAAATGCTCACCGTCCATAAGAAGTGAGATTGAAGGAAGCCGTTGTACTGGACGAACTAATAAGGCTGCTAAACTCTGGCGACCAGACTCTTTACGTTTCTCAACTTGGCGCATGAATGCCTGAAAGCGGGGATATTGTTCACCGAGATGATGCAAGTGTGGTGGACTATAAAATTGCATATAATTACCGTAGATCTATAATGATAAGAAAGAAAAGAAATTGGTAAGTGACCAGAAACAACAATTCTGGCAAGATGCATTGTTTCAGTTTATCAAGTCTTACGATAGGTTAGAAATAAATTAATTAGAAAAATTAAACTAAAGGCTGTGAACAAATTCACCCGTCACCCCAACTCAACACTTACACAGAGGAGAATAACCTGTCAAAAGCGACAGGCTTTCGTCTCCTTCGTATTGCTGAAGCCATCCAGTTGGAAAGACAAGAGTTCTGTATACCACTCCTACTATCATGGTAACAACCGTGTTGACTTCTACTAACTTGATATTTGTATACTGGTTTTCTTTCTAACTCCTTATAACATTTGTAATTATTATAACTTCTACACAATTCCATATTTCCCTTTGTTTCTATGTGCGTCCTAATCACAGCCCACTCATTAAACTATTCATCTTATTAGGTAACTATTACGCCTATTCAACTTCTTTTATATGTTGATTAACATTAATAACTATGTTTTTTTGACAACACATCAACACCACCCTCTTACCAATCTTCACCCCCCCCTATCTTAGTTACAATTCGACTACTAATCACATTTTTGAAATGACTTGAAAACAACAACCCTAACTTATTTTTATTCTTATCGGACAAACCTAATGTATGCACAAATAAAAAATAAGTATGTGCAGTTGCGATTGTACAGCTAAGTGAATGAATTCGTCGAACAGAGACTCTTCACTGCACTACATGCATTGTTTTCATTAATGTCTGGATGGGGATTATTCATGAATTAAACCGAAGTGTCTTCAATTTAGGGGATATTTTGCAGTTTCACAATACAAGTATTTCACAATGGCGCAAGTAGTAAGAGACCCGAAAAATAAAAAGTTAATGAACACTCAGGATAACTCGTTGGCTTACAAAGCTTCGTTTCTTAGTGGGTGCCTATCTGTGCTAAGTAAAAATGTGTTGAGTTGTAACTGTGTCGTAGGACAAAGAACATGAAAACTATAGATGGCTTTATAGAACTACTCATGCAATTAAAATATGATTGCTTCAATAGTGTTTGCATTGAGTTTTATCCAGCCTAGTTATAAACTTCATATGAATCAATAAATAACGGGGAGAGAATAAGGTCAAAGGTTATGTATCTGTGCGTTAGTCAGTGAAAGTGAATAATTATGAACAAATTAAGAAACTTTATAAATAAACCGTATCTAAGCACTAAAGTGGGTCAGCGAATTCGTTTTTTTTTAGTTGTACATACATACATACATGCACACATATGTCCAAACCAAGTTCAATTTTAAGTTTGAAAAAATTTTGGCATTGGGTATATGATATTCATTATAATAAAGACTTCTTGTATTCACAAAAGTGGATAGTAACACAACAGTTGAGTCGTAATGATCATAACTCCTAGTATTACTCAATACGTAAGAGAAGGTGAATAAAGGTGTTACGTAACGAGACAAATAATTTAATGACTAACATCACATAGAAAAACCGGAGCTGTGTATACAAAAGAGGATTACTCAACCACTTCTGCTGTCTTGGTAACAACTTTTTTGATATGATTTTCTGATTTTGATGACTTAATTTTGTTTCTTTGCCTGTTCTCTAATTGCTTATAATTCTTGTATTCACTTAGAACTATTACGTAATTTCGTGTTATCTACTTTGTTTCTATGTGCATCCTGAGTAAAACTCACTCATCAAACTATTCATATTATTACATGACTTCTTTTAACAATTGTTTGTGACACCTTTGTTACTACCCTAATTTTCCTGACTGATTTTGTATTACGTAACTCCAATTACCAATCTTCACCTGTTTAGTTAAAATAACTATAACCAATTGTATTTTTGTTTGACAAACTTAATGTACACATACATACAAAATAATACACATATATTTGCGATTGTACAGCTAAGAAAATGAATTCGCTGAAAAGAGACTCTTCGCTGATCTACGTGCTTTGTTTTCATTAACGACTCACTTGTCATCAGAAAAAAATGTAAGATTTGCTTGTACACGTTTGAAGATGAAAAAGTGGATCGGTCAGATGAACCTCATTAGAAATAATAAATAACGGATGGGGTCAAATATATACACAAGATGAAAGGTCATACCAATAAAGTATGACATAATATAGCATAGATCCCAGCGTAGGCCAGAGTAGCAATAGTGATTGGATGTGTTTTTAAGAAAACTAAATTCTAGCTATTTAGAGAGAATTGCTATAGCCTCTGATGTTCGAAGTATTTACCACCTAATGTCTTCTATTCACAAATACCTCTCGGATGTTTGCTCTCAGTGAATCGATGTTGTTAAAAAACATTAATGCTATCAATATAACAACTACTACTTAGCTAATATATATATATGTATATATATATATATATACATAGCACTACTGTCAAAAATCTGCACACGTATAAGAACTTACTCTATCCATTTCAGTCAATAAGCTAGTCTGAAGAACATCACCCAAACAACTTTCGGATAATGACCAATTATTTTCCAGTTCATTAAATTGAGGTTGCAAACGTTCATGGAGTTCATAAATAGCACTAAGTTTACCGAATATAAAATCAGCTTCTTGTCGAGGCAAAATAGGTCCATTTGGTTGATTTTCATCGATAACTTGCTATGAATAACACAAAAACATTTTTTTAAATTACTGTAAGCTGAATATATCTGAATGGAATTCAACACATATTATTAAAAGTAAACTCAAAAATGACATAACCACATTTACCGGGTAGGCAGTTTGACATAAGTAACGTAAAATCTCCACATAATTTCGTTCTGTAACAAAAAATTCGAAAATGCGATGCTGTCTTTTTTCAAGCTTAATGCGTAATGGTGTTTCTTGCAAATCTGAAAGACAAAAAGTAAACAAGTTACTACAGATATGACACCATTGTAATGCATACGGTAATATTACAGTCTATACAACTCTAGAACTTACGATCACAACATCTAACACATACAGCTGGGACTTGCTAACAGTAAACGCATAATCTATAACATATTACAGATGCTGACAAAAGAAATTAAAGGTAAAATTCCATAGAATTAGTTCACTTATATACATATATATATTAGGAAAATATATATACTTTATGACTTGAATACTAATCACAGACAAAAGCATAAAATGTTATTGACATGACTTCGCAGTCTTTACGAAAACTGTTTGTTCTTGTGCGTAAGTGCCTCTCACATGTTGTACTCACTGCCTGCTAGAATGGACCGTTGTTTGTCCAGGAGCTGCAAGGAACTCTTAGAAACCCAGTGACTTTTAGCACAACATCCTTGTAAGCCGCAAGCGGCTTCAATTACCGTTCGCATGGCAATGTAGCTAATATTTATCTATGCTACTTGATAGGTTGCTAACAAGCTTTGATTGTAACTCTGCCTGGTATTTTAAAGAGGTAGCAGGCGCTACCAGTTTGGTCACATGAACATTCAGATGACGCTGTTTATGAACCCTACCAAATCGCAAGACAAACCTGGCACACACCAAAGTATGATTGTATTCCAGACATGTCATACGATGAGCAGCAGTCGTGTATGCATCCTTGCCATCAGAAACTTACAGCAACATCATCAAGGTGAGTCCAGGCTTGATTACCAGAGGGGGACGCTAAGTAGCGCTACGGAGTTGGCCAGAAATAAACTGTGATCTGCACAAAGCTGCAGAAGACAGTCCTCATTATCTGACGCAATCTTACTGACCACCTAAGCAACTCTCCTCCAAGCATAGATGCCCCTGGTCTGTGCATTCCAGTCCCCAGATGGAGAAGACATTCAAAGCACTCCATTGAGATCTTGAATGCAGGTCTCTGAAATGCAACAGACATCGATAGAGAGGTTTTCCAATGTTCATACCAGACCCGCCTGTGGTCCGATTTGCGTCAGTGTCCGAACATTATAGGTGGCAAGCTTGAACGCGACACGCGGACTCAAGGTACCCGTCTTAGATATCGCACTTGGGACCAGCATTTTCAAGGACGCTCATTGACATCTAGAAATGTCACAGATAGGCTGAGAATCCAGAGAAAAAAGGGAAGCTGGTAAAAGTGAAGACACCAAGGATAGTAAAAATAAAACATAAAAGCCTATGTATAAGAACAGGGTTAATTAAAACGTGTTGCCAAAAATATCATCGTTGTTCGTGAGCGCGAGAATGAGCGTGTGGTTAATTTTCCTCATTATTTGTTGTTTCTTTGTTAGTGAATATGTTAGAAAGATGAACAATGTTTATGGATGGTAACAAACTGGAACAAATAACAAGTAAAGAAACAAATTACCACGGCAATGCAGTGTGGACCATAAAATCTTTCTGTACGTACGCATAAATTAGCCCTCAATTGTCGGATCGCTGCTGCTTCTGCATATAGCAGTAATCTACTATTACTCTGCCTATTTAGCATTCTGAAAGCTGTGTTGGAATTGATGACGTGACCTGTGTCAAAGAAAACGTCTAGCACCAGCACTGCTAGGCAACCTTGCACCTAATTACTACTTTTTGGTACATCTTCGGGGATTCTTTTTGCAAAAACTCTCTCAGTTCTTCCTACGTGCATGATAATGCAATGAGAATTTATTTTTTTTAAACTTTTGTTTGCATATTTTTTCAATATTTATGGCATTGGTTTTGTATTTACATTAACAGTGAAACCATTTGGATAACGGAGAAACACTGCAAGTCCGATACATATTTAAACAGCAGTTCTGACAACCGACCTATGAATTTGTAATAACAAATGCTAATTCTACTTATAAATAGGAGAGTTAAAAAGTGGGAACTATCAGTACTACAGACTTAATAATAAATAGGAAACCTACGACCTGGAATATTTATTTATCCATACAACTCGTCATACATCAGGACAACGAGAAAGCTAATAAATGATAATATAGGGAGGTGAAGATATTACTATTTCAAAGATATTATGAAGTGACTCGAATCATCTCATCTTTAAATTCAAACAACTTTACTACTTTTAAGCATAAAAGTATTCTGTCGCCTAAAGTTAACGGAGATACACATACGCCTACATAAACACGGATCCAGGAATTTTGTCCTCACTCAACGGAAATCTTTACATTCTATAACAAGAATGAAATCAATGATAATCCGAAATGCACTATGATATCACTCGGCAAAGGTGAGAAATATCATTTAGTCTGAAACTGTTATATAAAGTAATGCGCAGAATTTAAGTGAAAATACAATCGCATACCTAAACATAGAACATACCTGATGGAGATGCATCAGTTAGTGCAGCACAAGCACCATTGGGAGTGGGTAAATTCAGGTCAGAACAAGAAGCACGTGATTTCCTCGCGGTTGAATGAAACAAACTCAATCGACTGGATGATTTTCGTTTTCCACTTGTGGGTGTAGATTGTATGACTACAGATTGAAAGAAACCAAGCGATCATCAAACTCTTACTAAATCAAACCATAAAAACGAGACATGTACTAAATGAAGAGATAATAATAAAAATAATAACGGCACTTTAACTTCAGACAGTTTATTATTGCTCATGTGCAAGCTCTAACAATAGCCGAACCAAACGCATTATCTAGAACCGATGGTCTTTTTTAGGTGCTGTAACAGCTGAACATATTAGAGCTAGAATTACCCTGCTGAGTTTTCTGGAATATAAACCGAAAGCAGATGTCTTTCCGTCACAAAGTTTTATTTTATTGTGAGTCCAAACATTAGTTATACGCTGATTGCACTTACGTGACAAGGAAAGTGACTAATGGGGAGGCTAAAACGCCTCGTAGTACCCACTAGGTTACCGCGAATTCGTTGCAACTTTTTGATACCCATCAGTACATTTCCGCAGACAACGAATATATTATGCAAAGCTTCTATGCAAGAGATCACCAGGGTCTAAGAAAGGTCCACGAAGACCATTCCAGTAACACCCGCGGCGCCCACAGTTAGCTAGCCCTGAAACTGGGTAGAGATAGCGCTGGCGTCATCAGACCATGGTGTCACGTCATACAATGAAGGCTAGTTGTCTTCGGTTACCATCTGTCCGTGCACCACGAATCCCTCAGTGGGGTCCGACAGATAATGCGAATCACTCACTCAACACATGGTTGGTTGGCAATCGTAGTGAACTAACGAAGAGGATGAAGTAGCACCAACGAAATACCTATACACATTTAATACTAATAACAATCCCTCTCTCCCGACTCACTCCCAACCAATTCCTCCATACATCTCATCCGCCGTCTTCATTACTAATTACTCACTTCCATTACACTTCCCTCTCATTCTCCTCTCCTTAATTCCCAATTATTATTATTCTTCCTCTAACACTAAAGGATGTAATACCGCCTCCTGATATCTTGAAACCATGTCACTTACTGACTCCTCCCTCTAGCTAGACATTCACACACTCAGTACACCGCACCCATCAATAACTTCACTACTCCAGTACACCCACACAAACACGTACATTGTGATTTTCAATCTCATACAATAGCTACACTCACCCACTCACCTTTCTCATTACAGTCACTCAGACAATTCGTCAGCCAGGAACTAGTATCCTTTACCACTGACGGTTCCTGAAGGCCTACAGATGTCAGCAGAGAGTCACGTCTTCAAACTGCAAGTCACCTCCTCCTCCTCCTTCATGTCTCGATTATTCCATTGAGTAGATTGCTAGCTAGCTGGTTAGCTTCCTTACGCGTTCGACTGAAATCCCACCATAACTTTAGCCTTGGCTTACGCACTCATAATCAATAACCCTGAATTCCACCAGTTGAATGAAGTATAACAAAAATCCTCGGCACACTGTCGTCTAAAGTCACTTCTAAAGCCTTCTTCAAAGTTAGTCTTGATATATTCACTCTATTTAACTGATGTGTAAGGATGCACTTTAGTGCAATGATGATAGAGATAAGTGGTTTTAAGCTAAGCAACTACACATATTTTCAAGCTGGATAATCCAATTCGGATAGTTGAATACACACACACACTAGTGGGGACGTTTCATATGCCACTGAGAGGTCTCACTTTACATACATTAACACAATTTACCAGTAATCTATCAGTATTGCTTACCTGTAAGATGAAATTCCTGACCGACTTCAACCATTTATCCGATCTTCCGCTGACGTTGAACAGATGGCGCTCCGCAACAACCTACAATTAGTAGTAATTTTTTATAATGACATAAAACAGATAACAGATTCACAAGGGTGAGAATTCAAGTAAGGTTTTATTAAGGGAATTGGAGATGAAGCTATCAAGATTGTTAAACAAGCAGTCTAATCCTAAGGCGCTTATCAATATTTGAAAGCTACTAACCCTGAGGAATCAGCAATGCACAAGCTGTGTAAGGCCATGCAGCAATAAATCTTTGTGTCAAATTTTCCGATTCTGAGTCATCTGTTTCCTTATGCAAGTGCACGACTTACTAACCTAATTAATACTGTTTATGTCACAAATAAACGAATAAACAAGATAAATAACCAACATTGTGGATACGAAAATGTGATAGTTTTATTCATATTGCCTATCGATAGCCACACACTAACAATATCAGACATTTAAAAGGAACCCGGAGTTGCTATGTTACGTAAAGCAGCATTCAGAAAGTAGTTGCTGTTACAGCAATAGTGCTTAAATACTATACAACAATACTCTGCTGAAGCTGATAATGTGAGTAATATTGCGGAAAACACAACGGACAGTTATACCCACACCAACCTGATTTCGAAATTTCCAAACCCGCGCTGAACCTTGGCGCTTCTTTTTATCGACGTCCGAATCATATAATTTTAACACATGTCGGATATTAGAGTTCAGTGATGATTGATTGTGTTTCTGAAAACTGCCAAACAACTTAATGAAGAATTTAAAGTACGTTGACTTCAATGGAAGACTGACCTGATGACTCGTCAATAAGTGAGAGTTCACCAATTTTATTCAGTCCTATGTTTAATATTTGTCATTGAAGTCAACAGTGTGTGGTGAGCAACTTCCATGACCTTCTCTCTAGTAGTAATCTACATCCAGCTGGGCTGGCACCACGCTGAACGAAGGCGTTTTGCACTCCCATGATGCGTTGATAGAAGCGACTAGTTAACCATTGACGACTTTTCCAGGGTGTAGGAATGATCACATTAAAACTTGTTTCGGTCTATTAACTCTTTGTTAAACCTATTATTCATGAGAAGTCATTTTAAGCTGAACACACTTGAAAAAACATCCGTGTCTCATCATAATTTTCTTCTCTCCACACTCCATAAATGAGGTGTAATCATGTAGGAATCCTTCTTCGACGACAGTTGCCTCACTAAAACAGTTAAAAATTTCATTTAAACGCAGGGGAAAATAGTTGAGTCCTCTTATCATTTAGTTTCCCTTCACATCATTATCAGTGGTCGTTACATGATAGACACCTGTCAATGATTATGAACACTGAACGTATGTTCAATAGCTTTGGTCGCCATTGGAGGGCAGCTTGAAGGCGCGAGTGAATACTTTCAAGAATTTACAATATTTTGCGAGTATTTGACCTGTTCCGATTTTGATCGCAGATTGATTTCAGTAAGAGAACCATTGAAAACTTCTTTCCGATACATGTTGTTTCACAAAAGCCTCCACTCAGCTTACATATTGTTGTAAGAAATGCCTGTTTCCCTTGTGAATAAAGGAATGTAGAGTCCTTAGCTGACTCTTGGGCCGGGTGCCAGTTGCATCCCTTCCATTTTACTGAAATAAGATAGGCTGTATATTCTTGTACCTCTGTAGAAATTACTTGGTTTTTACAAATAGGCGGCCTATTACCTCTTATCTATTATGAAAGCATTCCTCTATCCAAATTTAAACGTGGTCTTAACCATTATCTTTCGAGAAATGGCGCAATAGACAAAAGCTGTGTTATACTTTTAACAATCGAAAAGATTGTCAGGAACCAGTGACCATACTCCTAGCTCCCCAAGCAACTCATCACCCACCAGACGTAGAATTTCCTGACAGTGAATTCAAATCTCTAATGCGCTATGAAGCCAAAAAGCAGTGCATAACGGTGGCTTGTACCCTATTTTTCTTCATCTTTCTGTTCCCAAATATTACGGCAGCGTACCCCATACCATTTTATTAAATGACTGAATGTTTTTTAGCATGCAGGGTACAAGATCAGAAATCCTTATCCCTGTTTCATAATAAAAAAGTTCATCCAGAAACAGTTCCACCTGAAGTCAGTTATAATGGAAATGTTCTGATACGTAATCATTCATCTTCACTAAGAAATTCAGAAATAACCGGTTGCTGGAAGGTTTGAAATTCTCATTCAGTGCATCTTCCTGACATAATATTATTGGTGTTGTTTCAGTTTCTTGGAACGGACAGCTTTACCCCACTTAACAACGAAGCAAGCACCGAGGCCTTTGTTTAAAACGACAGGGAAGGGCCTCCAAGTGAACCAAGTTGTCCAAGTTCACGTTTAAGTTGCTTGTCAAAGTGTATGGCAGCTACCACCTTCCTGGTTATATCTGTTTCTCCTGACCAGAACCACATCACCTATGCTGATTTCGTTATCGGCGATAGTGGGGGTTAGCCACGTTTCAGTGAGAATGATCACTTTCAGTTGTAGGTGTGCTTGGAGATTTCGGAGTTCACATATTTTTCCTCACATTGCTATATAGGTAGCTTACAGTGAGTCTAACAACCTCAGCGTGTTGTGGGGTAGTTGGCGTGAAGCTGTCTACTGGAAGGGAACTTAATATTGGGAATAGTTGACCGATTCCAAGGGAACCGGCCAGTTGTGGTTTTATCCATGGATTTCGGCAGGACACTTGGGTGACACAGAACTGCATCGCTCTAGTGTCACTGAAGCTTCGAGGCGTATTAAAGCCTCAGGTTGCTGCCTCCTTATGGTTCGAGGTCTGCTTTTGCAGAATCGGATGTGTCCACCCATTTTCCCCTTGGTCTCGTGCCGCCACTGAAGTACTAAGGCCAACTGTTCCTGAGAGTTGAATTTGAAACTTCGCAGCCTTGTGGAACCAATCAGTGTGAGATGAGCGGGGCGAGGTAGCTGGAAAACAGAGATTGCTCCAGAAGCGCCAAAGGCCATCTGAGATGACAGTCATCTCCATTGCTGTAAGTCGTGCATGTGTTTTTCACAAGTAGTGCCACTTTCCAGCTTCGGAATAACGTGTATGATCATAGCGGTAGAAGGTATCAGTACCAGAGACTCCCTCGACGTTTGCCTGTTATCCCATATTATGACACCTATGCTAGAACTCCTGTCGATAGTTAGAAACTGAGTCCGTAATAGTATCAATTAAGCCTCTTCGGCAGAGCCCAGTGCAAATCTTATTGGTGGTGGCTTACCCTGCAGTCCGTGGGCAACAAAGTACAGACTGCAAAGATTCGCTGAACTGACGTTCTGACATAATTTATTGCACAAATTGGATCAAAAGTCCTCATTAAAACAGGGCAATATATCATTGCAAATAGGTAAATGAAACAGGAAAATAATAATATATAATTGGCTCAAAAACAGTAACAGCAGTAATATAGTAACACAGCATTCACATTGGAGTTAGAAATCTGCATCTTATTTTTCATGCTGAGTGATGTTGTTCTCCACACAGACTTAAGAGAAATGAAAGCTTGCCTTGCTTTCCCTATCCTCGCTTTGATATTCCCATAAGTTCAGTCCTCCTGTAGTTTAAACGATGCTTCCCAGGTCAGGAGGTAGGTAAAGTAGGTTGCTTCTCTCAAATTTCTCCCACTTATGCTGGTTATTGTCTGTTGTTATTGCTGTTGCCGTTGGCCAGGAATCTTCATCACCTCTGTTCTGTTCACCTGAGGTCCTATCTTCTCTGGATACTTCTTCTGCCAACTTGTTGCTTTTCACTTGCAAATCTTCCAGTTTGTGGGAAATCAGACATACATCATCGGCGAAATCCATATCCTCCAAGTTTTTTGTGCGAGTTCATTTTGTGCCTGTTTCCTCACTGCCCGCTGTCTGTCGCATTATCCAGTCTACCACAATCGGGAAAGTCATTGGACATAGTAGACAGCCAACTTGTCTTACTCCCGTCTTCACTTCTTTGAAGGATTCTGTGAGTTTCCCGTTATGGATTACTTGGCATGCAGCATTGTCGTACAACTGTTGGATGAGATGTATGACTGTTGGTGGTACCCCGTAGTAGCAGAGTAGTTGCCAAATCACATCTCGATCGACGCTGTCGAATGCCTTTCCAAAGTCGATGAAGTTGAAATAGAGAGGTTACTGCCACTCCAAGTTCTGTTCAATGATGGTCCGTAGTGTTGCGATTTGATCGATGCATGACTTGTTTCTCTTGAATCCAGCCTGTTCCGGTCGAAGTGTTTCATTCACGGCCTGTTCGATTCTCCACAGGATGATGTGGCTTAGTATTTTGCTTGGGATAGACAGGAGCATGATGCCGCGCCAGTTCTTGCATTGACTTAAGTCCCCTTTCTTTGGCAGTTTGAATAGGTAGCCCTTCTTCCAATCCGCAGGTACCTTGCATTCTTCCCACACCTTCTTCAGTAGTAGTGTCATCAAGTCCACTGATGTCTCTGGGTTCATTTTCAATGCTTCTGTTGGGATTCCGTCTGGTCTTGCTGATTTTCCAATTTTAAGCATCTTTATGGCCTTCAGGATTTCTACTCTCTTCGGAGGGTTGATGTCCACTGGTAGTTCTGCTTCCGCTGCTGGCATTATTGGGCGCTTTGCAGGCGGCGGTTGGTTTAGAAGTCTTTCGAAGTGTTCAGCCCAGTGTTTCCTTTGTTCCACCTCTCTGGTGATCGACTTCCCATTGTCATCCTTCAATGGCTTAATTTTTGTTGAACTTTTCCCCGATAGGAACCAAGTTGTTTGGTAGAATGTTGCGAGGTCTCCTTTGCCTGAAACTTCTTCCGCTTCACTTGCCATAGCTTCATAATATTGTCTCTCGTCTTCCCTGGCATTTTTCTTTACTCTTTTGATTAGTGTATTGTAGCTTGCGTTCAAACCCTGTTTTTGTTGCTCGTCGATGCACTAGATAATCCTTTGTTTCACCATCCTTCCCTCTTCTATCAGTATCCTTGTGTCCATAGTGAGCCACTGTTTGTCCTGTCTCTTCTTTCTGCCTGAAACTTCCATGCAGGTTTGACTCCACACCGCTTTCAGGCTGTTTCAGTGCTTTTCAATGCTGGTCTCTTCGCTAGTGTTGACTTGTGTCTCCGCCCTTTTCCTTATGATTGCAGTGAAGATATCCTTTGTATCTGAATAACAAAGTAGAAATATTCAATGAGCTTATGATCATTTATTACGGTTGTTTTACTGCATTTCATATGATATTCTTAATAGCGCTGATTTGTAGGTGTCAAAGTATAAACGTGCAATTCAGAACTTTGTACTGTAATGTCAACAGTTATTTAGGTTTAATGCAGATTATCTAGTTTCCTGTGGTTACACTGAATTTCGTATAAGCTGCCTCATATGGTTCAAGTTCGCTCACGAATTCAATTTAGTTAGAAAATCATTGAAAACGGAAAGGTACTGCACAGCCATTTTATCCTAGTTTCGGACACTTCATCAGTCTGCACCTGTGATCCTACCGGGAATCAAACCCAGCAACCTAGGATTCCATGAGATGAAATACTTTTTCTACCTGTGGAATAGAATGAATTTTAGTTATGAAGATCAGTGTTTATATATATATATATACTCACTCATTTTTCGTATACATGAACTTCACATATTTTAGATTCCCTGTATCTCCTTCTGACAATTGGTCTTGA